AGTTAGACAAAGTTAGGTCACAGAAGTAAAGGGTTTGTGGCGTGATGAAGATGGTGTAAGTTAAGACCAAAAACTATGTTAATATACTGAGGGCTCAGAGGGTGGTAGGGTGGGGAAGGGAAGGGAGAAAGGGGAGCTGATATCAAGACGTTCAAGAAGAAAGAAAATGTATCAATGATGAGGGCAGCAATTGCACAATTATGCTTCATCGAGTGGAACTGTGGATTGTAATACTCTCTGTAGCAGCGCCTAATAGAATGTTTTTAGACATTTAAAAAAGGTTGGGAATGGAGACTTGAGGAGGGACTCGCTGGCTGCAGAATAGAGTTTGTGTGTGCGTGTGGGAGACCAGGGTGTGAGTTCCCGACAACGCACCTCACACACGCCCAACACTCGGCTGTCTGCAGGGCTAGCAGGTTGCCTTGATGCTGAAGACTTAGACAGACTAGGAAGAAATGCCAGGCCATCTACTTCAGAAAATTAGCCTATCTAACCCTTCTGAATTGCACTACAATAGTACGTGATGTGGTGCCCCTGACGAGCTCTCAGGTTGACAGGCCCTCCGCGCCTCAGTGAGTGGACTCGCACACCCTGAGGAGCTGGTCAACACTTTGTTCTGTCGTACAGACGTCACCGTGACCCAGAGCCTGCAGTCAGCAGGTAAGAGCACAGCGTCTGCTAGCAGTGTGCATGAGGGATTGGAAAGAAAGATGAGAGGGGAGTCTAGAATAAAGGGAACCATTGTGACGATACAGGTCTGACATTGCTCACCCACTCAACCAAAACCTGTCACCTTCTAAGTATTTCCCACCCTACTAAGTCCCATGAACACAGGAAAATTAAGAACCAGTGCCTATCCCGAAGCTTCTGACAGCTAGATCTATTAGGGCCATGTGCCATGCTGAGAGCCCTAGGGATACACAGGAAGGTGGGATTTTGAAATTATTTGAGAAAGAAAATGTAACAGGTGATTGAAAGAGAGGGAATGAAAAAGAAAATGGATGGGGATAAAAACCAAACCCTGGCCGGGAACAGTTGAACAGAGAATGTGTAGCATGCATAGAAATTAGGAAGTGGGGAGGGAGAGCTGGGTTTTGGTAGGAAGGGGTTGACGACGTCAGTTTTGGACGTGGTGAAACATGTCAACCATCAGAGTGGAGATGCTAGAACGCGAAGAGGGTAATGAAAGTAGATCCTCCGTGAGAAGCCTGGGATGGACTACAGATTTGGAGGTCCTGAATTCTTGTTCTTCAAGGCAGGAGTCGAAGCTGCGTGAATGGAGAAGCTAACAATAGAGCCAAGGCTGGGTGGATAGGGGTACCTGTCATAGATGGATGTGAGAGTTAGGGGTATTTAAAGAGCTGATTAAGTGAGGAGACCTACATTCAGGAGAAATGTAGCTTCTTCATTTGGAGAAGAGAAGCAATAGTTGATAAGCTGTTAAAAAACAAGCTCCTGGAGCAGGGCTACCAACGGGGACAAATTGGTTCATTATGGCTGATGCGGTGAAATTAGACCTGATTATGTAAAACATGGGAGTCTTGGAATAACTGGAATGGGGGGGAGGGATGTGTGGAAGCCCAGGAATGGGAGACGTGGAACAAGTGCGTGGGCCCTTTCATGAGCTGATGCAGGATACTGGATCATTACCAGGACAGTGGAGAGCCACACACATTCAACGTGATGACAATCTTTGAGCAGGACATTGTTGTGTCTGACTCTGTTGATGAAGCAACTTGATTGCTATGCAACATGCAAATTGCCCTTTTTTCCCTTAATAGGTGAGCTACGTTTCTGGCAAGGTGTTGACCTCTAATTTTTATTGTTCTGGTTATAGAACAGTTCCAGTATACCCACATTTTACAAATTTGGGTTTGTTCCAGTTTCCTGTCATTGGCCATGACTGAACTGGGAAGAACTGGTTTGAAGCCCTACTCTTCGGCCAGTTCAAACCCAAAGCCAAACTCACCACCGTTGTGTTGATTACAACTCATTGCAACCCTATGACATGTAGTAGCTATATCATGCTGGGCAATTAACTGGTGTGTTTCATTTTCTTCATTAGTAAGAGAGGGTAACATTTATACCTCAAACACTGATTTGCTAAAAGCAACCCACTGTTCTGGAGTCTGGTAAGGCTCCTAGGGCCCCTATGTAGGGGTTCTGAAACCGGCAGTCTCCAGGGAGCACACATCCTCATCTTTTTCTTGTGGAGCTGGCAGCTGGTGGGCTCGCACCACTGACCTTGTGGTTAGCAGCCCCGAGCCTGAAGTACAGCACTGTGAGGACTACACTATAGGTGAGGCAGGCAACATGCTTACTCAGGGCTTGGCTCATAGAATGGGATCTCGCACATTTTCAGTTATTGTCATGAGCGATGCCAGGTCCTGAGACCGGGTGTGTGATTTTTTTGGGGCTTCTCGTTTGTGAGACTATAGGAAGCTATGGGAGAGATTTCTGGAGAAATCTTTTCAAATTGAGAACCCTTTGTCAATATTGATGCTGGATTGGGAGTATCATATATACTCGAGTATAAGCCAACCCGAATATCAGCTGAGGCACCTAATTTCACCACAAAAACTACATTACCAATGTGCTGAGAAGCTCAGTTGATACTCGAGTATATACGGGAAGTTATTTCTAAGGGACCCTTTTCATGCCATAACTTATGGTGATACACTTTGCGGTCATAGCTGTTGTTCATGTGATTGCATTTGCTTATAGCGGCATTTGGCGCCATATGTTGAGATTGACCCTTCTCGATTAGATTGCATTTGGTTCCTTCAGTTCAAAGGTCTCCCTCTGTGAGGCCACTGAGGAAACACCAGAGGCAAAGAACAGGCAGTGTCCGCTCCTGGGGAGGTGAGAGCCTGGACTTGAGAGGAAAGAAGGAGATGGGTAAAAAGACTTAAGAACAAAGGAAGGGGTACTCCCCCACCCCCCCAAAGGAATTTTTTTCAAAGCTATATATTTAAGGTTTCCCCTCCGCCCAAACAATCATCACCTTCTAAGTACTCTCCATTACAGTTATACATTTGTCAAATCTGTGATTCCATTCTCGGAAACACTTTTCAAGCTCATCTGTTTGGATGGCTGACAGCACCTCCCTCGTTTTTTTCTTCACCTCTTCTTTGTCTTCAAATTGCTGTCCTTTCATGTCCCTCTTCATTCATGGAAACAAAAAGAAGTCCCACCGAGCAAAGTCAGGTGAGTAAGGTACATGGGGCAAGAGAGGCAGGCTATTTTTTGCCCCAAACTGGTGCACTGAGATGGCTGCATGAGCAGGTGCCTTGTCGTGGGGGCAAAACCTGTCCCTGTCTGCCACAAATCAGACCTTTTTTGCCAAACACTGCTGTGCAATCTTTTCAGAACCTCCAAATAGAACACTTGATTAACAGTCTATAACCTAGTGGAACGAACTCCCAATGCACTATGAATTGACAATTTTGTCTGTTAGGGAAGTTGATGGACATACAGAACAAGGTTTGTCATCAATTGACATTTCACCTTTTTTGAAACAAGAAAACCACTCCTACACTTGAGTTTTTCCCCTAGCGCTGTCCTTGTAAGCTGTGTTCAACATCACAACTGTTTCTGCGACATTTTCCCCGAGCAGGAAACAAACTTTCACAGCCTCATGCTCTTCTCTTAAACCGGCCCTCACTGTGGCCAAAGAGAACCTTCCCAGGTGACCCCACTGGGTACACGAACTCAGAGCGTGTTGCTTGATGCTCCCTTAGTGGGGACAATGCATACTATGCAAGTTCTGCTCAGCCCAGTGCAATTCCGGTTTTTGGGGGTACCCCCTTTTTTGAAGGCAACATCTGAATAAGTGTGAAGTATTAGTTCAGGCAGAGGCTGCAAATGCCGAAAAGACTCCAAGTGGAAGCCTGATCTGGCTCAGGTGGAGTCAATTAAGATTCCTTTGTAATGGTGTCTGTGCCTGGCCATTGGTGGGGACTGGGCGGTGTCCCCCCATTTCCTAGGTTCTGGTTCACAGCTATCCCCCAGCCTCCCTGGTTCTTCCTCCGAATCTCCCCTCTCTCCGGTGGCGTCAATTTCCCACCCCCAGTGAGAATGGAACTCCCGTAGTCTGTGTTCTTAGGACGGCCTGAAAGGTAGTACATGGAGGATATGTCCTTCTCCCATTGGGTTGCAAACGGGTGGAGGGGAATGCTCCCATCTCTCCTTGCGGTCATCCCCAGTGGTGAACAGTCAACACACATGCTTGTGAAATTGAATTGACCCGCGCCTCCCCCCAGGCACCTGAGGCTGACAGTCAGTAAGCAGCAGAAGTTGTTCAAAGCCACTCACCCACGTAGGAGCAAAGGAGGCAGGGCCCCTGCTCACCAGAGCCACTTCCTCCTCGGCCCAGAGTGCACGTGCCAGACACAGGGCAGCCTGGTCCCCAGAGCCGCCAGGCCACCTGGCATAAAAGCCAGAAGCTCATTGTCCTGGGAGGATGTGACTAAGGACTTTGCGGGAACGGCACATCCCAAGCTGCTCGGAGCCTGTGGGACAGACTGGCGTCCCATCTGTGCACACGCTATACTCTCGTTGTCTCAGGCCAGCCCGTCTGAAGAGCAGGGCTGCTTTGGCCCCGTGGCCAGTAGCGACCCTCTGATTGGAACGGAGTCACTTTGCAGGGAGTAGCATGGCCAAGTCAGTTGGCAGGAAAATGCAGAGGGCACTAGCTTCTGTGTCCTGTGGTTGAACGTGGCCAGTCTGCTTTGCTGCTCTGGCTGTTCTCTCTCACTGAGGGGCACAGTTTTGAGTGTGTGTGCCAGTTTCTTTTCACTGCCCGGACCTGAAGAGACACCCACTAGGGAGGCCCCATGGGCCCTTGGCTCCTGTTAAGCGTCACTGCCCGTTGCTGTCTCTGGCCACGCCCTCTAAGTCATGTGTTTTCTTTCACAGTACATCTTTGTGGACGCATATGCCCAGTACCTTTGGATCACGTTCGACTTCTGCAACACTATCCAAGGCTTTTCCATACCTTTTCGAGCGGCTGATCTCCTCCTGCACAGCAAGGCCTCCAACCTTCTCCTGGGATACGACAGGTCTCACCCCAACAAGCAGGTAGGAGCTTGCTGGGACGACACGCAAGTGTGGGGCACCTCTAGTATTCTCCTCTGCCTGTGGGGACTGCCTGTGCTGTGAGTGACTTTTCTTCTGTATTGCCCTCCCTCCCTTTGGGACTCAGTCTTTGTGGCTCCTGTATCACTTACCAGGGCTTGGTACGCCAAGCTCGTTCCAAGCCAGGATCAACAACACATTGCAGTTGGCAGACATGTGAGTTCAACATGCTGCCCTTGTAAGGTGCAGGTGTTGGCCCTTGGGATAGATGGAGGCCCCAGCATTTAATGGGTGCAGGGGGTAGAGAAGCTTGGCTTAACTCTGCAACCTCCTGGTTACACTCTCTTCTGCCTGCCCCATCCTCTACCTTACATGCATGACTTCTGCCTGGATGTGTTTGCCATTATTATTGACTTCGATACTCTGCCTCTGTGAGTGTGTTTGTTTGTGTTAATGCCCTATAAGTGGGTGTGCTTTCTTCATTAATTTAGGCTAGAAGGAAAGGTTAGAGACGAGAGAGAACCCGAGTAGGGTTTAGACCTCCAGGCTGGAATTTGCCAAGTCAAGGATACTGGCCAAAGCCCTGAGACCTGCAGATCTTGCATGGTTGGGGCCAGTGTTTTTCTTCTCTGCAGCTTGTTTAACCAAAACATAATCTGTTGACCTTTGCCTGCCTTAGGGCGTAATCTAACTCCGGCTGGGTCATTTTACCAGGGTAGGTGGATTATTGTTCATTGTGGTGGTTCGTAGGGGTGGCTGGAGGAAGGAGTTCTGTAGTGAAGGCAACCATAAACCTGCTAAGCTGTTCACTGAGAGGCTGGAGGGTCTAGTCCACCCAGAGGTGCCTCAGAGGAAAGGCCTGGTGATCTATTTCTGAGCAATCAGCCACTGGGAGCCCGATGGAGCAGCCTAGAGTAGCACAGGTCTGCTCTGACACACAGGGATCACCACGTCTTAGGATTGACTTGACAGCAACTTCCTGGGGCCGGAGCATCCTCCTGAGGCTGTCTTCAGAAGTCATGGCACTCTGGCAAAGAGGAATGTGCTAGTTCCATCTGACCGTTACCTGCTCGTAGTCACATGGGCCCCTTTGGCAGTCTGTTCCTCTGAACTTGGCCCTCTCCATTCCACTTTAGTCACCAGAGCTCGTTATTCGCCTTTAAGGACACTTTTCCCAGCCAAGAAGTCCCAACTATAATCCTCTCGTTTTTACTGTCACTTAGGAACTAGTGTCCGATAATCCACAAACGAGAGACCAGTCACCCGAGAGCCTTTGCTTCTGTGGAGAAGAATGCCACGCCAGACATGGCCCTTCTGCCCTGCCTTTGTTTGCACGTGGAGTCACTGAGCTGGCGTGGCACGCCTCGTGGCTGTTCACGGGTAGTGTGCCATGCCAGGCAGGCTTCGTTTGGGCGTGCCTCGTGTCACTTCTCGTTCTCTGATCTTTGCAGCTATGGAAATCAGATGATTTTGGCCAGACCTGGATCATGATTCAGGAACATGTGAAGTCATTTGCTTGGTAAGTTGCGCCATTTCTTTTCTCCAACTCTTGGCTCCTTCATCACGGACAAACCCTCAGGTTAGGCATTTGGCGTAAGAAAGGCGTTTCCATAGCTGGAAGCGGTCAAGTACAGTACACTCCTTATGGGGGCTTGAGAACAACTGGCCACTGGTGAGGAGAGGGGTAGAACTTTAAGGCCAACGGGGAACCTTGAAGTTTCTGAAGACATAAAAAATATATATTACATTGGGATTTTTCTCCATATAACAGTCTTTCATTTGCCTATTCATTCGATAATAGAAGTGAACATTTTAATATTTTCCCCTGGTGGTATAGTGGTTATGTGTTGGGCTGCTAGCCTGGAGATCAGCAGTTCGAAACTACCAGCCACTCTGAAGCTACCAGGCACCTGAGGGAGAAAGATGAAGCTTTCTACTCCTGTAAAGCGTTACAGTCATGGAAACCCAGTATCACCACTCACACCACTGGTCCTGTAGGGATCATCCGCCCTGGATTCCCTGTGTTTCCAGTTCCTATCTGTACCAGTGTACATCCTCTGGTCTAGCCAGACTTGCAAGGTAGAATTCATATCATGATAGTGAGAGCGCATCCTGGCCCACCAGGCCTTGAGGACGATGACCCCAATTAGAACAGCCAGTAACAGAGAGAACCACATGGCCAGCCCCACTATGGGACATGATGGCCCTCACTGACCCATGGCCCTGCGGGGAACACCAGAGACACAGTGTGGGAATTGCACCTGATCTGATCCCACCACACTGAGGCAAAGCACTGGGGGAGTGCAGCGGATCAGCAAGGGAAAGGAGCAGCAAGGTCCCCAGTGAATGCTAAAGGTGGACTTTGGGGCCAGGGCGTGGTGCCCCAACAGACTGGACTGGAAAACACTCTTAAAGGCCAGCGATCCTTGAACTAACTACAAGCTTTTCTTTCTTGTTGTGTTTTTATTTGTTCTTTGTCAGTGGTTTGTTGTTGCTGCTGTTTTGTTGTACATTGTTGCTTGGTTTTGCTCTGTTTTGTTTTTGTGCATGTTGTCTCCGCGGGTCTGTCTGGATAGGACAGGCTGGATGAACAATCGGGAGGAGAAAACAACGGGACCGAAAATTCTGGGGGGACATGGGAGGAAAGGAATTCTTGTGCGTAACGCTCAGAGAAGAAGGGGGCCAGTCCCAGACACAGTTCCAGATGGGAGGGTTACCGCCCCCTGGAGGAGGTTGCCAATGGTCAGGACAGGTTCAGGGTTACTGGGCACTGGTGCTAGGGTAAGAGATTCTAGACAGAGGAACACAATGTCAAAGACACGGAGGTGAGATGTTGTGGGGAGAGCAGTTGAGTGTGATTTTTAGACAATGTTGAGTGACGTTTGGAAAGCAAAGTTCGTATCAGAATCTAGAGTGCTTGATAAAAGGAGTGGGACTGAACATTGTCGGTTTGGTAAGGGGAGTGAGATAAATCAGCCGCCGGCCACCTGGGGGAAGCGGAGTGGTTTCTGATCCTCATAGTTGCAATGATACAGAATATAATTTGGAATATATCAGTTTCTATGGCACCAGGAAAATGCATTAACCTGACCGGCCCTGGAGAGGGACTGCTTGTGAGTGAGGCTATCTGGCTGTTCACTTGACCTTCCACACGGATGCCTAGGAGGTGTCATGAACTTGCTCCTTCCACACTGAATGCCTCCACTGGCCAAACCACCTCCGTCTGTCCACAATCTTCCCACTCTCGGTTAACAGAAAGCCCATTTCTCTAGCTGCTTAGGCCACCATTGGTCCCACCTTTGTTTCATGCTCTGTGTAGTCGACCCAGCAGGTTTGTCCCACCTTCAAAATATATCCAGCATCACCTTAGAGCATCACTCAGCTACACCTTTCTCCAAGCTATCGTCATCACCCCTTAGTCCCCCAGCTGGTCTCTCTGCCTCCTCTCTTGTCTTTCTACGGTCCAGTCTCAGAGCATAGCCAGGTCGATCCTGTCCCTTCTCAGCTCAGAATCACTGATGCATCATTGCTTCTCGGGGGCACTTCTTACCAGGGGGCCTTTCCCTGGCGTGTGCTCACCCCAGATGCACAGTTGATTCTCACGATTAATAGTGCCCAACACTGAATTAGCAAATACTGCACACGCATCATGAAGAGGAACCACAAGGTTAGCTTCCTGGGAACCAACACGCGCAGCTCATGTTGTACACAGTGGGGGGTGCATGTGAACCCAGCGGATTGGGGGGTGCGTGTGAACCCAGCTGCCCTGCACTTGCCCATGAATGAGTGGAAGCACCCCAGAATCGATTTGTACGTTACAGAGGCATTTTGGGAAGGAAGCGAATTTTCAAATGGGAGATCTTCCGACAGTGAAGTTTCCTGCACCCCCGATAGAGTGGCATGGGACTGGGCAGCATTTCCTTCTGTTGTCCGGAGATTCGCTGGGTTAGAACCAGCTTGATGGCACAACTGGATTTCGGAGTGTGTGTGTGTGTGTGCCTGTGAGGGGGGGAGGCGAGGGGGGACACGGAGCAGAACACCTAGCTGGTGCTCTGTTGCTAACTGACAAGTTGGAGTCCACCCGGAAGCACCTTGAAAGAAAGCTGGAGGTGTGCTTCTGACCCGCAGCCCTTGGCACCCTGTGGGCACAGTTCTCCCACACACAAGCTTGCCACGAGGCAGAGCCGACGTGATGGCAAGGGGCAATCACCTTAGAATCCATGGTCCCTTACCTCACTGTCAGTCGCTCGTCAGTAGCCTGGACCTGCATAAAGCAAGGGTTTAGTCAGTTTTGTGCCCTGACACATCTCCCGTGAGCGAATCACTGGATTTGTAACTTTGGTAGATATTGTGACTTGTTCTATCACACCAACATAGGACACTGGTACTTCTGTTCACAGCCCATTGATCTGTTAGGTCAGAAAGAGTCTTTAGTGCAGTTCCAAGTAGTTTTTTTCTCTTATTGTGCGTGTGCTTAATCATCTCTTTAATGTTGTAAGTCATTTCTATGGAGTAGAAATGCCCCATCTGTTATGAAAGCAGTCTGCCACATCTGTCTCCTGCAGGGTACTTCCTGGGTTCAGACCACTGAACTTTTGGCTAGCATGCAGGCTTTTAATCTGCCACCAGCGCTCTGTTTATCTGTTTCAAAACCCAATCCACTGCCATCAAATTAATTCTAACACATA